AGGTGGTGGTGAGATGGTTGCTGGTGATGTATACGTCTTTGAAGGTGATGAAATCATCGCAGTCGTTGGTGGTATCAAATTCCAGCGCGTACCCCGCAGTCTCCTTCAGACATTACTTGCACCAAAAGCTATTCCAGCTCGTGGTGGTGCCAAAGCAGCTCCAGCTCCAACCAAAGCCATTGCATCCAAACCATCAAAGGCTGCCTCCAAGCCTGCTCTCAAAATTGCCAGTAAACCAGTTTCAAGGGGTATCTTCTCCAAAGCATTGGCAATTATGGCGGAGGAGATCGGGTGCGATGTCGCTGAGTTGGCAGGCCCAATGAGATTCTCTGATATGGGCGTCGACTCACTTCTTGGCTTGAGCATTTCTGGCCGATTCCGTGAAGACCTTGAGATTGACTTCCAGAGCAGTGTCTTTGAGCATGAGCCTACTGTAGATCATCTCAAAGCTTACATGACTAGATTCGAAGACGATAACAGTGCAGAAAGTTCAGGCATGTCCACCCCGGAAATAGTTTCCAGCGATTCAAGCGAAATTGGAGATGACGAGTTTGATCTAGTTGAAAGTGACCCTGAAAGCTCTGCCGTCGATGGCGATAGCGATAGCGAAAATGCAATCATCATCCAAATCATCAGATCTACCATTGCAGAGGAGATGGGCGTTGAGATTGAGGAAATAACTGATAACACAGACCTGGCTACCATGGGTATGGATTCTCTCATGAGTTTGAGCATCTTGGGTGCGCTCAGAGAGAAGACTGGCCTGAATCTGAGTTCCGAGTTATTGGTCGAGAACACCAGCGTGGAAAAGATTGAAACAACTTTGGGTTTAAGAGCAGCCAAGCAGCCAAAGATTGTTGAGATCAAGAAGTCAACAAAGGTTACTAAGGTGTCTTCCACATCAGTGCAGCCAGCTGCTCCAACTCAAGTCGCCAAACCTATCAATCTATCTCAATACCCCCCATCAAAGTCTATCCTTTTGCAAGGTAACCCAAAGACCGCAGCTCGCACACTTTTCCTTCTTCCAGATGGTTCTGGTGTCGCTTCTTCGTACGCCCCACTTCCTCAAATTGACCAAGATCTAGCTGTGTTTGGTCTCAATTGCCCTTTCATGAAAGACCCCACAGATTTCAATATCGGTGTTCCAGCAGTCACTCAGATTTACCTCGCTGAAATCCAACGTCGTCAACCACATGGACCGTATCTTCTTGGAGGCTGGTCTGCCGGAGGTGTACTTGCGTACGAATGCACCCGTCAGTTGATTGCAAAGGGTGAGAAGGTCGAGAAACTTGTCTTGATCGATTCACCATTCCCTATTGGACTCGAAGCCCTACCGGCTTCGTTCCATCAATATTGTGCCAAGGTTGGTCTTCTTGGCGATGGTGGACTTGAGTCATTGCCAAAATGGCTCCTTCCCCATTTCTTCTCTACTGTACGCGAACTCACTGCCTACTCTGATCACTTGGGATCTCTACCATCTATCAACACTGTCAACATGCCACAAACTATCGCCATCTGGGCTCGTGATGGTATTGTCCACAAGGAAGATGACCTCAAGCCAGAGTGGGATCCCAAGGTCAGGATGCCCAACTCCATGGACTGGTTGACCCATGATCGCAAGGATCTCGGACACAATGGATGGGAGAAGTTGGTCGGAGAGGGAAACATCAAATGTATGAGCACAGATGGAAATCATTTCACGATGATGAGAGATCCAATCGTAAGTTATTTCTCTGAAGTTCAATGTATGTGGGGTAATTTGCTGACTAATCATTACAGACAAACGATTTGGCCAAGCTCATGAAGCAAGCTCTCAAGATGTAAAATCAACTTTTATATCATGGCATAATTGCCCTTAGATTTCATGTTTTTCCTTATAATTAGTATTAGTATCTTGGGGTTTGGGTATCGGCTGGGGAGGAGTTTACTTTTACACTTGCATATGATTCATAATTCTTCACGATTCAACGCATTTGTACCTATACGGCGCAATTTGGGGGATTCAAGCGAAAAAACAAATCGCTCTTGTTCTTTTAGAAAATTTCTTATAGTAGAAACTTAGATAGTATAGAATATTATATTTCATAATATACTTATATATGAGCTCCCATTTCTGTCATGATATTGAATATATCTCTCCCGCATTCGGAAAACTTCGCTTCGCCTTTATACACTGAGTCGGGCTTTTATCAATACTACGTCCGCGTGAGGAAGTTTTATTCATTCCATATTCCCTTTGCGCTTTGAATTATTATATTTGATTAAGACGCATCACTGGAAGTAAAAATTCCAAGAGGCCAGTCGTGTGTGAGCAACTGGGAGCTGTCGTCCGTAAGACTCTGAAAAGCTGGTTATATGGAAATGAGACTTGAGATTAGCTGGCTAGTAACCAGGCATCTGTCTACCATCTTCCTTTTCGCGAAAGATGATCTTTGAGGATAAGAATTATGCTGATTAAATGCTGTATAGTCATGCGCATGGTATCTGGCCAACCTATTTTCGTTTTCCATGGAAAGAATATCAAAAGAGCTAGAACTTTCATGAACCAAGGGAACATCTCTACCTCTCACTTTGTTTCAAGACTGGAATAATTTCCACGCTGATTATTTCCCGGGCTGACCAACGGAAAGTTCAGATTCATTCCGATGATAATTGAATTCCACGCTATCACTTGTTATACCGTCGTAAAGCCATCGTTCAGCTAAGACTGGCTATAGTGCGTAAATTGATTGTGGTTCACTTCCGAATTCGATTATTGGAATCGATATATATAACAAATGTCAAACACAAAGTTTACCTTGGATAACTATGATCTTCTGAGGGCGTACTTTCACAACTCAATAGATGGCACCCTCGCTACCAGGAGCAGGACGCCGCCTGTCATTAATATTGTCAAGAAGAACTTCAAATGATCGCTTCAACATGGTATAGATATCACATCACTGTTTGTATCGAGATGCTTCCGGGCTTGTTTATATTCACGAGAAAACAGTCCCCTTGGACTTTTCCTTCCCCGCAAAGTCTTCCAGAACAGCAAAATTTGGCTTCTATGTCAAAAATTAATTTTGGTTACGCCGTGCTTGCTGGTCAATTTTATTATTATTTGAGAATCAGATATCTCCAACGGGACAATCAAGGAATGAGATGAGCCGGAGCAATAAAGGTTATAATTGGCGACTGAAATCCAGCCGCCTGAATGCGAAGTATCTTTCCTGTAATTGCCAAAAGTTTCAATCGCTACTCACACCTCAGTTGGTTTATCTCATCAACTCTTAACTCCAGATACATTCTCAAGCTATATACCAGTTCTGGGCGAGCTTTTAGTCATGGAAAGTATAATTTGAGCCAAATGAATATCTATAGAGCCTCTTTGATTGAACCCTCACGTTAGAATTACGCAAATTTGCTCTAACAAGTCTACAAATCCGTGGCATAGCTCAAATACTCGTTCTTAGATATTTACATACTCACTGGAAAGCCTTCTTCAGCTGAGCATGCACAACTTCAACACTTCATTCGCTCAAAGGGCCAAAAAGTCATCCCCTTCAGCATGCAGCCATGCAAATCCAACAGCATAGCCATCTGCATATCAAGCTCGAGAGGCCTAAATTCAAGCCTCTCTTAAAATACTTTTACTTAACCGATTTGGGCCATATATCTGGTATCCTTCGCGATGAGAAAACTTTCTGTTTACTTTCTTCACCGTACAAATGCCGCAAATCATAACTCTACCAGATATCGATATTAAAGATTAAGTTTCCAGAGTCAGGACGCAGCTTGGCTATCAGCACTGGCAATGACGATGTTTGGATAGACAGAATTTGTCATTGATATTCTATTGAGGACTAGCCACTATAGACGATCATTCCAGTCAATAGATCGATACTACACATATAATCCTATGATAAAAAACCCTCCCTCAACGAGCCCATCGAAACTAAGAAGAAAGAGGATAAAACAAAGCAGCCCCAAATATGAATCAATCGACCGAGTATGGTAACCTTTCAATAGACACCGAGCAGAGTTGATAGAATGCATCGCTTACTTTTTCCTCCCCGCGCAACAGAACATCTGACTTCGAATTTCGAAACATCCCATGTGGAGCTATACAAGATATAAGACTTACATCCCAGAGTAGATCAGGGGTTCAGATCGTGCACACCATAATGGCGGGTCAGCTCCCGCCCCAGGAATCTTGCATGCACCTACTATTTCTCTCCATCTCTTATGTTGCACATCTAAAGATTGTTTACTTTCACCCTCTCCACCAATCGGTCTTGATTACGAAACTTCAACCCCTTACTAAAATCTTCACGATACCTGGAGATATTTGTTGCACGTCTAAACATTGTTTACTTCTATTTACATCAGATGATTGAACCAATCATCGTCCAAAATTTCTTCCGAATACTTTAAAGTAAAGAAAATGTATAGCCCTAGAAGGCAAAGATTGTTTCTACTATTCGCTGGCACGGCTGGCAGCTGTAACTAGACACTGCTAATGATGAAGTGGGGTAGTAGGAGGTAAATCAGTGGGTACACCGCTCTTTGTACAACTCGGTGAGGGGTGTTTGTTGGTCATTACTTTAAGAGGGTGGTGATCAATGAGCACGGGTAAAGGTGGAATCGTGAAAGAGATCACGAATAAGTTGGCATGTAATGATGCGTGGCAAAAAGTTTCGCTAACGCAAACAAACTACCTGAAACACATGCAAAAAAAGAAATGCAAAGGGTACCAAAACAGCATGAATACTGATGAAACACATCAAGCATAACTGTCAAGTTCTAGCTATTGCAGATTTCAGAGAATGACTCAAGCATCCCCACAATACCCAAGAAACTCCCTCACGAGTCACCACTCCTTTGCCAAGCGAGAGAACTGCTCTATATCTACCTAGGTAATCAATCTTCACAACAAGTTTCTTTCCAGTGATACCCTCTTTCAACATATCAAAAACTTCTGCGCACTTGCAATACCTCCTTTACCTCCTTTAGAATCGCTACCGGCGAAGCGATAACCACATATCCCTCTCCAAAGCATCTTTCATGAAATCATTGAAAGATAATGCACGCATATCTTGAGCATTAGTACCAAGAAGAGCAGCCGCGGACTTGAAGACTTCAACATCTTCAAGGTTTGAGTATTCTTCTGGCCAGGGAAGAGTCAAGACAAGTTTCCTCTTACCATGCCCCATTGCCGATACAATATCAGCCGGGAGTCGAGGAGTATCGTTCTCTGTGATGGGGTCAAATCCAATTGAGAGATACACATCCGGAGTGTCAACTTTCCCTGCATATTTCTTACAACTCTCGGATGCCTTTAATTTGAAGTAGTAGTTGCACCAACAGAATTAAGGCACTCGTGATGTTTCTCACTAGCCGTCTCGAAGGCTTTATATCACGTCAGATTACCAAGTTGTATGATGGCAGTCCCCATAGAAGACTCGCCTCCTAACTAAGATTCCTTCATTTCTCTTCTCCCCTCTTCCAAGCATTTTCGGTAAGTCCAGTAGCAGATAGAACACCACGGCAACCGTAGCCATAGCCATGGGAAAAGTACTCGTATCCTCGAAGCTCAAATCACCCGGAATGTTCGTCGTTGCAGTTTCTCTACAGGATTGCCAAGCCCCATGATATATTTTGACGTTGTAGATAGCTGCCGCGAATCCAGGGATTCTTTCTCCAACTTCAAATTTTGTAATAGAGGGACCGGCGGATCCGATAGTGTCTGAAAAGCCAATGCCGAGGACGTTAGGATAGAAAGTGACGAAGACATCTCAGGCTTCGATTTTCGAATTGACCAGGTTGGCAGATATTGCATGAGTGTGAATGAGAAGCTCGTCGAGGGCGGGGCCAAGTTTAGGTCGATGTTCGATGGTAATTTGGCTTTTGTCGTCTTGACTATGGTATCGAGGTCGTCTCGAAATTGAGGAGCAAGATGCACATGGTGTTTTCTTCCAATGTTAGAGTTCTGGTAGACACATTTTATTCTACAACAAGAGGTCATCGCCATACCATTGTGGGCATACTGAACGTAGCTCACCGCAAGCACGCATCATGATTTATGATACACCATAAAATCTACAAGAACTGAGTGCTCTGGCCTGCGTAATGGTAATTCAAATGCTAAGAAGCAGCTACGATTCCCACACTTGGCCGTTGAAGTTCACGGGATTTTCCCAACAGAATGTAATAACTCCGCTGACATGGGCAATCTGATAATGACGGGTTTATAACTATGGCTAGTGGTTGAGGTAACATCAAGTGAAGCCAGACTAGTCCTTTTAGTATTCTCTAGTGCCAAATTGAGTTCATACTGCAATCATAAATTCTGTTTATTACCAACACATAACTCAGTACCATAACAGAAAGAACATTGGATCTGTTAACTTGTATCGATACAAACGATTAACGATTAACATGATATCATGGAGACATCGCGCGAAAACGACCTTTTGATATGGACCAAGGAGGCCCAAACTTTCCAAAGCATATTGAATGATGTGAAGAAAGCTACGAACAAAAGTCATAGAATTTTTTTTTAAAACAGGTAAGACCTGTCCAAAGAACTCTCTTTGCAGAATCATGTCCCAATTTTAATCCTCGCTAACGAATGGTCAATATAGTCCATGCTAGAGATATAGTCGCTCGTACTCAAGACTGGGTGACAACTATACAGCTTAAACTTTCTTGTGAGTGGGAAAGAAGAATTACTCATAGAAATGATGTAATCAGTTTATTGAAAGGCTACTATCTAGAAAGGAGATCTATCTTGAGATCTCAACGACACACGCGTGACGCTCGCCCCAAGAAGATGTATGATCTGTCTCAGAAGATGATGGGGCAGCACAAAAGATTGGTGGTAAATGAAAGAAATATAAACGAAGTAGAGGACATGGAGAAAATGGCCCGAATTGCGATGAAGAATATTGCTTACCGCGCTAAACACCTTTTTCAAAAGTAAGAAAAATCTTCCTAGGGTGCTATTGAAGTCCCGACCTTGTGGCATTTGCACAAGAGGCAGAGAACAGAAATTCAATGAAGGAATATTACCCAACCTTTATTTCCAGAGGGTATTATCAGACCGTGGGAAATCGAAGTCTCAGAGAACAATGCTGAAAGCCCAAAGACAACGGAGAAAAGATCAACTGACGTTTTTACCTGGTCCACACGCGATCAATCTCTTCAAAAGAATTCGGTCTCATTCCCCGAATGCGGTCCCTCTAGACCAGAAGGTAGCTCAATCAAGTTTGCCCCAGGATCCGACGATCAAATTTTCCAAGTTCACAAGTCTGCCGCCTGAACTTCGTGGAATGATATGGAAGGCTGCACTTTCGGAAGGTCGCCATATCTTTGCAGACGATTGGGAACTTGGACTATTTCATCTCTTACCATCACCTGAGGTGTCTAATTCTAAAAATTCCCTCCAATTGGCCTGCAAAGAATCGCATGAAGTTGTACAAGAACGTTATACGTTTGTATTTCAACCAATGAGTAATGGAGCGCCGGCATAAGCCCCTGAATACATTACCGCACTTAATCTTCTACCTTTCAACCCGGACAAAAATATCGTAAATATGTACTTATGGTTAGAGAAGAGAGACACTTGGGAACATGAATTATGGACTTACTTCAGTCAAGCATCTGTCACTGGATGGCGAATATTTCTATGATATAGACGCAATCGAACGTATAGAAGCTGCATATCCAAATCTCGAAATTCTGACAATTAGAGTCGAGGGAAATGATTTCTTTCGGGACCTCATTGAATATGACCCCCGTCTCGACTTTGAACCCATAGAGATAGATTCAAGTTTCCTTGACAACCTAGCAGCCACGATATCCAATGGAAAGGGCTGCCCGTCCAGGAAGGCACAGCGCTATGGAGAATTGAAAGACAAGTACAATAAACACACAAAGCTTTTCGATCGCACCAAGGGAAGAAACTCTGAGTATTGGAAGCGAGTGAACATGAGGGTCGTCTTGTTACAGAAGTCAGTCTGCAGTTGGCTTTGATTATTTGATATGTTCGATATTACGAAACATAGTGGACTCTTATCTTGGGGTCAATAGGGGGTTTCGTGAAGAGGAAGCATTTAAAATGTGAGGTGTCTTCATTCGGAATGCGTATCTTGATAGCTGGCTATAGAAGGATGTTGGATATGGAATTCAAATCTTAAGCTAGATATCTTGATTCGAAATAAATTCTTATATTGAACCATTGAATAGCAATTGCAATGCATGGTGAAAGTCCCAGGCAACTAAACACCGTTGCGCAGCCTTTCGTAAAGCCACAGCAGCCACACATGGGTGGTACCCGTGGACCCTATCACACCAAGGCTGAATCATAGCCTCATCAACTTTTTCTAAATCAAACCTTTCCCCCATCGAGAAATCATTTATCTAGGGACTCGCTATTTCTTCTTCATATATTATATATAACATGCCACTCTTCACTCTTCCCATATCTGATATATCTCAAACATCCGCCACCACTCCTCAAATCCACTTCGCACCTCTCTCTATACGATCCCAAAAACGAAAACGACGCGATAGCGATAGCGATCAAGATGACGAGTACAACAATGATTATATCGCGAACACAAATACCAATTCAGGAAAGGGAAAGGAAATAGATGATGGAGGACCGTCATACCCTTCTGCAGAAAATACAAATCCATTGAGTTTGACGCCAGCAGAGGTAATGCAATATCGATTAGCTGGCCTGGGCCTCGATAAAGAATTGCCATCGAAAATTGGAGTCAGGAATTGGCCACATAGAGGTTTACCTTCTAAATATTCTGTTACTTCCGACGATCGCGACTCTGCTCTAAAATCTCGAGACGATGAAGACGAGGATTCCGAAGAAGAATCCGCCAAAAGTCGAAGAGAGAGGGAAAGACGCAAGAAGGAAGAAAAGAAGACTGGGAGGTCAAATTTGAAGATTCAACATTTAAGTGTATTGGTTGCGATTATGATGAGGAATTTGGAAGAGGGGGATATGGAGAGGGCAGGGCGGGCTTGGAGTTTACTTTTGCGGATGCAGATTTCGGGGAAGGGAATTGAAATTAGGAAGACGGGGTTTTGGGGTATCGGGGCTGAGTTACTGATGAGAGGTGTGACGAACAAACAGACAAAGGAATGGTGGGAAGAGGATATGGGAGAAGGAAGTGGTGATGATAACAACAATGACGTGGAACCAAAAGAAGGAGAGGAAGACGCAAAAGGGGAAGGCAAGGGAGGCGAAGAAAAGAGATATGGTACAGCTGAAGGACTCCTCAGAGTAAAGGATTATTACGAACGTCTTATTCTTCAATATCCTTACAAAAGACAATTCCACGGTTCGGTTACTGCGCTCGATTTCTGGCCTGCGATGCTTGGGTGTGAAATCTATGGAATACAATTTGAGCATAAAGATGGTTTACGAAAGATTGCCAAGCAAGCAGAGAAGGACGAAGATGGTGATATTAGTGATAGTGACATCAGCGACGAAGAAGATTTAGATGATAATGACGAAGGAGGGGATCCAGGGGATAAAGCATTTTTAGCTCATCAACGTCGCCAAGACCGTCTTCTTAAACGACGAAAGGAAAAACGGTGGGAAGAAAGAGATGAAGTTCGTCGAGCAGCATTAGTAGCCACGGAATTGGTAGCTCAAAGAATGGATGAACTGATGACGACACCTCCATACTCTGATTCTAAAGTCCTCCTTCGTCTCAGAGGAATGGTAGCTTTATACATTGGAGATCTATGTGTACCTGACAAATGGGAAGGTGATGAGGAATGGTTGGGTAAAATGAGAGGTGGAGCGATGGAGGCTGATAGAAGATTTCTGGGACGACAGCGAGAGGCAGAGGTTAGAAGGGGGATGGAGAAAAGGGAGGATGAGAGGAGGAGGGCTAGAGCCTTGTTTGGGAAAATTGGGGTCGAGTGGGATGATGGGGATGAGGGGATGGATCTGGATATGACTTTGGAGGGTTATGAAGGAGATGAATGATCTGGGATTGTATGATCAAATTAGAGGTGCATATGTCATCTGGGTTTGGCAGACCAAAATCAAGGAGTCCTGGAGTAGGTGGAGTTCTAGGATAGATACCCCTTTTATCTTTATTTATTTTTTTCGTTAGGGTCTCGTAACTATTTCGATTTACGGAAATGTTTCTTCATATTGGATCTACTACTTTCTCACCGACTTATCTCGAGCTTTCTTTCGTCGGTGTACATCACCCTAGCTCACTGATCTTCTATATAAGGCTATAAAGTTTCACTATTCAAGAGACCGTATTGATTTACATGGACGTATATGCATATATGAATATATTATTTCCACAATCGATTTGATAGTCACTGCAACCAAAGCACGACATAGATAGTCAAATATAACAGTAAAATTTCTTAACATTCGTCATTAATTCTTTTCTCATTAAGTAATCTAGTCATCGATTGTACCCGATAGTGGTATGGTATCATAGAGCCCTGTAACCTTTTCCAAAACGCCCCGTAAATGCTCATTACCATGCATGCCGCTCATAAATCATATGTTTGCCTCATCTTCGTTCATAAAGACTAGTTCCCAACTCTCATGCGCTGTAGGCGCTCCAGTCAATCGCAGCTACATCATCGTAACAGCTAACCGATGCGGCGGAAGCATCTTCCGCTCCACTACCCTCGCTACATTGAGGCAACAATGCAACATCTGAGCATCCAGCTGGGGTCTCTTGGCTATATCCTCTGTAGAAGAGTTGAATCGCAGGACCATATAGAAGCGTAGTGTTACACGCGTAGAAAGTTTCTCCCTGGTATCCATGAAGTTGAGTAGTTTGGAACGGAGAGGTAGTAAGTCCTACGTAAGGTTGACCAGCTCCGGCATTGATTTCGACCGTCGAACTGCCGGTAGACGAAGATGCAGGGTCGGAGGGTGTGATGGTGAGGGATTCGGGGAAAGAGTCGGATCCGCTGCCCGAATCGGTAATGGTGGAGGAATTGCCGAAGCGGACATCGGTGGCGGTGCCGTTGATGTAGAAAATGCGGGGGTTGGCTTCGCTGGTGTCTTCGGCAAGTACAGCATATGCGGTTCCGGCGCCGGTGTGATAGGATTCGAGAACGAAGTGGTTGATGGCGAGATCGCCGGAGGTAACGTTTGCTACCAGTGTGAAGTGAGTGGATGTGGATTTGGGTGGCGTAGAGTAGGTTTGTCGTCTGGTGGGAGCGGCGGAAGTGACGGAAGTGAGGAGAGCAAGAGTGCTCAAGATATTGGTGGTTGAGAATAACATTTTGATGAGATTGTGTTGTGTGTATGTGGTATGTGGTTTGGTAAAATATGAAAGGATATGGGTGAACCTTATGTAGCTAAAGTTTATGGTATAGCTGATTCTGGTTACTTCTTCCGAGGAGGCTTTGATGTAAACACTGCCTTGATAATAAAGGATAAGTTATTTTGCGATGGCTTTGCTTTGATGGTGAATGATGAATTGAAGTGGCTTGTATGATAACTCAAATGAAGAGCTTCTTAGATACTTTTATATTATATCGCATTCCCAATCACCCCACAATGATCTTGTACATCATACGGTCAATATCTTGGAAATGGCGGGTAAATAGTAATGGTACTACCATTAATCGTGCTGGTGGCTGGTCATCGCCCCAGTGTTCTTTCCTAGTTCTCGACGATCACCCTCGTCATCCACTCAGAATCATCACAGGCGTAAGTTTAAATATATTGAATGCATTAGTCTTCAGGTACGAAAGAGAACCCTGAAAAGGCTGTGAACCCAACTCCACAAATTCGGAAAAGATGGAAAAAGTGCAAAGGGAAAATAATTGGAAGATCGGGAGAATGATGTTATGCCAAGCTCGCTTAGACTTTTTTGATCCAATAGCACCCCTTCATCGGAAAATCCTCAGCCATTTTCAGCCACGACCGCAGATACTGTGCCTATTAAGAATTTTTCTCATGTCTCTGTTCCTAGATGCGATCATCACCAGGGGCACGGATACGGATCTTTTCTATATTTGAGTGAGGGGAAAGGATTGGATGAACATTGTAAGTGTTAATATCCCGACGTATGTTGTACATCATGGCCGGCAGATACGGATGGATTTAATCCATGTCAGAGAGCCAACATTTCGTTTCCATCCTCTTCGGCGATGACGATGCTTTTCGTATGGGTGTAGTGCATGCCTGGAATCTTTCACATAACTCAATGTGAAAATTCTACAGTATAGCGCCAGGAATCACACTATCACACTATAGCACGAGCTATCAAAAGAGCTTGATAAGGCCATAGATACCACCGATGCTAACAAGATTTTCACGTACATAGCTTCAATCGTGGAAGCTAATGTTCCAGTGCGGCACGTGTATGGCTTGGTTTACATGCATCGCTGTTACCGGCATACAAAATGCGCAAAGAATGGTTGGAGTATCGCGAGAGCCGCGAATATGAAAATTTATTTAGACATTCTACGCCTTGTAAATATATATCGTGTTAGCATGTCTTACTTCAGATTACCTCAATACCAGACCTTTCGAACAGTTGTAAATCGTATTACACGCCGTATGGAAAGTCTGAAAACTTTTCATATGTCAGATCTCCTCAGCACTTGGATATGGTGTCTGCGTATTCGGATGTCTGCGGACATCGGCGTTACCGAATACTGTTCTGTCTGACAAATTTTCATGCGAGTAATTGTATGACCCGAACCTAGAGTAGGACAGAATTACACCCAAACGAAAAGCTTGCCGAGCTTGCCACTGCGTTTTGACAGACCGATTATGATTACACGGCTTGACTTGGTATTGAACACGAACAGTATTAACCCGGTTCCTCGCTGAGTGAGTTGGGAGACCCGCCACCTTTCTATCGAGACATTCTCTGCTCCCCTCCTCGTTTAATTGTTATAGGGGGATAATGTGAAGTTCTATGTATCTTATTAGAACGACACAATCTTTGACATCAATCGAGTGAAGGATCCCTTATCAAGACCCATCTTCCAGATGGATTGTGCTCGTTTACCCCGCAAAACAAGGCATCAACCAATCATCAAGACATGTATGGCAAACGGCGTTGCGATATCCGATTCCGAACTCCGGACTCCAACTACTAGGTATTCAATTGTTCGCCGAGTGAGTCTTATGCCGTGTGTTGAAAACCTCATATACAACTCATGATATAAATGGAGTGAATCGTGAATGTTCAGGTCCTGTAGATTCCCTACTCTCCATAACCATCATGTCTTCCTCGCCAGAACTTTCCCAACCCATCGTCTTCGATCCAGCGAAGCATCTCCCACTCCTCCCCGCGTTCGTCCATCTCCACAAAACCTGCGTCGAATCTCCGCCCCATCCAATTCTCACTTTCCTCCCCCCTTTTCCGCCGGAGAAAATCTCCAAAGTAGAATCATGGTGGCAAGATCGCTTCTCCGAAGTAAACGCTGGAACGCGGCAGATTGTTTTCGTGATGCTTCAACCTAAAGAAGGAGAGAAAGTACAAGTAGCAGGTGTCTGCATGCTCTCCACACCAACATGTGAAACTGGACCTCATAGAGGGTTTGTGGAGAAATTTATGGTAGATCCGGAGTTTAGGGGAAGAGGGGTGGGGACAGGGATTATGAAAGCAACGGAGAAGATTGCGGAGGACATAGGTGCTTGGTTATTGGTATGTTGTCTCTGTTATAGATTTACTTCATTCCATCTGGTTCGGTTTGTTGACATGTTCATAGATGCTGGATACAGATGTAGGAAGTTCAGCGGAGGGCATTTATAGAAGAATGGGGTACATAGAGGTTAGTTGACTTTATTTCCATGGTGGGTTGAAGAAGTTGCTGGACGCGGACTAATCGGGGAACTAGTGTGGAAGAATACCGGAGTATGATGTGTGGTCTCAAACGGGAGAGTTAAAGACGGAGGTTTTCTTTTATAAGAAATTAGTAGGTGCGGAGAAGAAATAATCAAGAGAAGCTGCTGGGAGCTCCAATTGATAGCATGGGGGTACTTGATGAAATAAGAAATGGTGGTAAAGATAAAAGATGACATTAAAAGTTGGATGAACAAGGAGACGCTGATTCACGTGTTCCGGAACAACAACGCGTGCTCATCGCCTAAAACTTAACAATTCATCAGAAGAGCGGAGAGCAAAATAAAATCCAAGAGGGGAAGGAGACATCGACGGAGAGGATGTGGTTAATTCATGGGTAGGGATTGAGCTTGACTGGGTCTTGCCAAGTATTTTTGCTTAGTCAGGATAAGATAATTTTGCTGGGTCGTTTGTTCTCACTTCTTTCCAACGTACTACGTATGTATCAACACCATGCCTTCCAAGTCCGTTCGAGGGCACTCTTCCCACTTTTTCTTTTGTGGCTGGTTTCTCTTCTTTGCGACTCTCATTGTGTATGCCCACGCGGCTGAGAGTGCTATGGATTGGACTGGGCAGGATTGAAAAACATGCAAATCAAAGTTCATCGAAGAGGGCTTTTATGAAAGAGAGAATTATGTTCATTGATGTTCATTCACTTAACTAACGCGATACCTAGCTTGGGAAGTAAAAAACCATTAACTCAAATTGCCACGAAGACGGTTCCGGAATAAGGGGATAGACTTGTGCCGCCTAGAACTTGTCCCTTTGAAACGAGTACTTCTGATCGCACCATAAGATAGCCCCACCAAACACCAAAGTCGCCAGTGAGCTCAGTAAGGAAATGAGAACTCATGAACTTGCCATTGATTATACTTACAAAATTTACCCGAGGTTACTTTGTACCAGGGACGAAGGCTGCTGCAATGCTGACTTCCTGACCACCGAATGATTCTCCCCCAATGCAACCCTTTATCTCCAAATTTCGGCCCTTTACTTTCATCACAAGCTCAAAATCGACTCTATAATACCTCAATAGTTTGAGACCGTCCTGCTCTATTGTCTCCTGGATAGCTCCAGATCTGATCAATTCGCCGAAGTCCAAATGAGCGGTTCCGACTATTTGAGCTCCTTTACACTGTTAGACAAGCTAAACGTTTTGAACCCTGAAACTACATACCTCTGTTCTTAGGGTGTGTGAATTTGTAATGTTGCTCAGTGCTAGTGTCCGAGACATATAATTGTTGTTCGTAGATAAAGGTCTTTCGTGTTGCGGGAAAGATGAAATGTACGTCCGTGCGATATTCTTTGGCGGCCGGGATGACTTCTCCCTGGGTGATGGTCAGTATTATAACAGGCGAGTGTGGGGAAAAAATTCAAATTACCTTCTTGACTACCCAATCCATCACCTCCAAATATGGTACACCGTCACTTGAATCGGTCATTGGTTTAACCTTTTTATGTGCCGGGATACCTATCGGATCGTGTTCTTCCTGCAAGAAGAATCCGTAGCTGCATAAGCTGATTCTCTCTAGCCCATCGTTTTCCTTATCAAGTGCCCGCAAGATTCCGCCGCTGGCCATCGCAGTTTCTCTGTCACGAGTTCGTCAGCTCAGTCAAACATTTGACTCAGGGTGGAATCTTACAGGTATTCCGGATCATTTACGGTTTCCAGTCCGATGACAACACCCTCGTCCCTTTCGAGTTTTCTTAGTCGTCTTTCCAATGTCTTTCTGAGAGATGGATTGTTGGAAAATCCTCCGATTAATACAACTTTCTAGATTGTACCAGCACGATTAGCTCTTTTCAAACCGCTAGGAGTTTCCTTCATCAATACCTTTATAGTGAGTCCAGCCTCTCTCGAAAGCTTGATCTGATCGAGCATTAACTCCATATTGCCTCGGAGGCATCTCTCAAACATTCTCCAGAAATCGTTTCTAAATAGTGTTAGTTGCACGACCAGCAAAAGGGCGGAGATTTATCTACCTCTTAATTTTAATGCGATTGTCTGCAAAGCCCTTTTCTGGATTTTCGCGAAGACCTTGTATGTGGAGAGAAATCGTTGCCATATTCCTATCTGTCACATCCATTATTCTCTTCAATGAGTTTTCGAATTTAATCGTTTGCTGGTCAACAATTCCTTCAATAGTTCTCCCATCGGTCTCCAAGTCAGACTTTTCACTCTCCAGTCGACCAAACAGATATTCTTTGAATGCTTCGTTCAGGTAGCTGGAGCCGTAAAGTCCGCCTTTGCACGATCAGTAGATGAACTATATGATAAGATGTATGATCCTACCTTTTGCAGCTACCTCTTCTCTTTTTAGTTTAAGAGGCTCCTCATCACCAACAGTGTATGTGGTAACATCAACTGTTCCTCCACCGGCGTCTAAAAGTATGAAACTTTCTCCTTTCTTCACACAGTCAGTCGAAGAACCTTTAATGGAGCATTTTTACTCACAGAAATGCTTTCGCTGTATTCAAGCACGTAAGCCGCCGCTGCTTCAGGTTCCGATACAAGAAACATGTTTTTAATGCTTCCAAGCTCTGATTTCTCGATAGCAATTTCCACGGCGCTTTGCATTTTTCTGCATGCACTGGGCGACCAGATTACAGGTACGCATAAAACATGTTCCACGATTGTTGTATCTTTGAGTCTCCGGATGTCTTTTAGGTATCTCTTCGCGTGCAAAAAGAGCTGTTCGAGGTATTGGGCAATAACATCCTCGTTAACTTTGATGTACTTTCTAGCTTTGAGTGTCTTCAAGACTGGTTTCAATTCCTCGCGGATCTTCTTAGTTTCGTAACTGGTGTCCAACAACAGTTTCGACCGCGTGATACAGTTGTATTGTTTCTTATCCAAATCAGGCTCGCTCAGTTTGTCTTGCACCTCGTAACCCGAATACATGAAATTCGGCTTTAAATCAGATTGGCCTTGACCATCATTGAAATCATCATCATCTGAATCATCTTCGTCGTCAAATCTCAGCATCGGCTCATCCATGTCTGAATTTCTCTCTATCGTCAGCTCTTCCAGCTTGGCTTTGGTCGGATACCAACTCTCAGTCGGCACGTCAAATCGAGGCTTCTTTTGAATTGACATTGGATCAGTTGCATATCCCCTCACGATTCCGATGTCATCTTTACTGCTGGCAAAAGCCACACAACTAAATGTCGTTCCGAAATCAGTTGAAATGATCAGACGGTCAACTTCATTCTCGTTGCGACTGTCGATCTCCATTGGCGAGCCGCCGTTGATGGCAGCCATGTTGTCTTCTGTTGCAAAGAAGTTTGATTCACGAGGCTCTTGTTTTGGGCGACTGGGAGCCTTCGACGCACGTGATGAGAACATTTCTGACTGGTGAGTTGACTTTTGAATTAGCTAAAATATTTTTGCATGTTCGATTGTTTATCAACGTATGAGACATTGAGAGGGATTCAGGATAGGAGTTTATGATTATATAACTAACCTGGAAGATGGGTTTCTGTACGAGGTTGAATGATTTTATGAGTGCCAGCCAACTTCTAACACTTTAGTGAAGGACAATCAAACCTGACAAGCTATTGGAGATGAATTCTTCGTATGTTCTTATTTCAGTATAGCCTCGATCGCGATGTCGACCTTTTCATTTAACATTTAAAATTATCAATCAGGAATGGATTAAAAGTGTTCTAGGTACGCAGAGAAGTGTATGTAATCCCTACACGATCCGCTAGCGCGTTATCACGTGTCCGTATTCACTCATTTCGCGACAATATCTTTTTGATTGGGAGATTTAATATAGTCCTGCCGCTTCATATCATGTAGGTATCCGATACTCGAATCCCACAAAGATTTTACAAACCCTAAGAATTCTCGATCAATCAATTCTAACCACCATTAACTTCAACCTTTAATCAACCTCAATCTTAATCAATTTCAACCTCAATCAACTTCAACCTCAACCCCAATCAATCTCAACCCCAATCAATCTCAACCCCAATCAATCTCAACCTCCATCAACTCCAACCTCCATTAACTTCAACCTCAATCAATATCTCTCAACATTTTGAATAAAAAATGGCCCAAAAACCCATCATCGCAAAATGGCTGGAGAGTCATGTTGTTCAATTGCTCTCCTGGGCTGATATTGCAATCAAGCATGAAAAGATTGATTTTGACAAGACTGTAGTGTCTCACCTCAAGCAAAAGTGCGGGGTGGACTATACTAGGAAACAAGTCTCTCAAAAGCTGCAAGGTTTACTGGATAAATGGGGCACTCGTGACAAAGATAGCACTCGAAGCAGAACTATCATAAACAAAGGTTGCATCTGTCTGGTCAATCTCCCAGATGCTTTGAGAACACAAATCGAGCTTGCTTGTGAAGACTTTGAAGTTGAGCTCCGCGCCAGCAAGCAACCGTCAAGATCTACCGATAGTGGCTCGAAGTCGAAAAAACATGAGCGTAATAATGCTCAGGCTAATACTCAAAAGCCAGCACCGGAAGTGCCAGGCGAAAAGACTTTCTGTTCAACTCTTCCCAGAACTCCTATGAAGCTTAGGAAAAGAGTTGCTAGTTCGGTTCCAGAGGAATCTCAATACGCCACAAAAAAGAGAAAGCTCACTGTTCGTTTAAATCCCATTCTATGATCTCTGCTTTTTACTCGAACCAAAACTGACCGTTGAACAAAATAGCCCGATTCGACCTTTTCACCAGAATCACAGGGCAAGGAAACTCACAATTCAATTCTTCCTAAAGCAAACAACAAGCGTAAGATCAGAGACCCAAATCTTGACACAGAGGTATCTCAATCTGCCAGAAAGAAAAGAAAGGTTAATGTAAGTATATCCTCGATGTTAATAATACACACTAGTTGTTTGAATATATACTGATGTATGGAAAAAATAGCCTATTTCGAATTATTCACCTGATCCCCTCTCGCGCACTCACTATCAATCTTCTCACATCATCGAAGATAGCCAGGATGAAGACACGCAAACGGCCAGCGAGAATGGTCAAACTAAAGCTCGTGTTCAGTCGTTAACATCTGTTCGCAAGGGGAGACTATCACAAAGATGTGATCATTGTCGACAAAGGAAGGTGGCATGTGATGGTGCTCGTCCTGCTTGCTCCAATTGTACGAAGAAGGGCTTGCCAGGCAGTTGTTCATACAAAAATGCACCAGCAGTATCCGAACCTCGTGAAAAACGTCTGAGCTTCAGTGAACCGGCTCACCATGTTGAAGATGACGTGACTGACGAAGAAACACGATGCATCTGCATGAATATACAGACCTATAACGACTGGGTTCAGTGCAAAAACTGTAGCATATGGCAGCATTGTGTTTGCGTCGGAGTTGAAATCACAGAAGCAAAGAACATAGAATTTCTGTGCGAAGAATGCAGCACCGAAGACCCTTCTGAGAAGCACATAGAGAAGGAGCCATTGTTGAAAAGCAGCGAGATGTGCGATAATTCAAGCAATGAATTGCAAACTGACAGTGTATTGCTTGGTTTGGCGAACGAGGAAATCACACGTCTGCGAGAGATTGTCGAAGAAAAAGATTTAGAAATTATTGATACAGAAGAGAGACTAAAAATCGAATCAAGGGATGCAAGTCGACTAAGGTCGAACCTGTGGATATTGGCAAGAGATTCTCCAGAGGTTGCTCTAGATAAAAAAGATCAAGAGATTAAAGTCTTGAGGAAGGAACAGCAGACACGTCGATTCTTATCAAGGTTTACACAGCTCGGTGCCACATCCGACGAGACCTTCGGATATGAGAGTGTTCAAAATATGATTGATGCCTTTGGTATAATTGATCAACTCCCATTCGATTATGTTCCAGTAATTGTCCCTTCCGGGCTGGATCAGCACCAGGAGCTCGAAAAGATCATTCTTGATATTTTCGGCCAAGACGAAACGCTCCGACAGACAGCTGAAGAACTTGGAGCCAGCCTTTCATCCATGGACACACTCGCAGTCCACAGAGCTTTGACAGCAAGCTTCCTGAAACTCTGGGTATTCGAGTCCGATTTCCCGCAAGTTGAGGGCTCATCCTCAGAGTATGTAAAAAGCATCCGAAAAAAAGTGATCGATTCAGGTGAGTTCAACATCTCCACGTTGAATACAAAATATATTGCTAACTGACTGCCAGACGGACCGAACGCAATGAGAAATATTGATTTAGCTGCTCGTCATGATGTAATCTCGAGTGTAAAGTTCAAACACCAATACATCTACCCCGAAGCAGAGCGTCTAACTAAGAAATACTCCGAAATTATGGAACCACTATTCGCCAAGAATCCTGGTAGCGAGGTTTTCAAGAATTGGAATGGATTCTCAACTTGGAATGACGATAAGGAGACATGGCAAGATCGCCAATCTCGACTCATTGGAATGTTTCGGCTGGCCTTGAAGAGCAAAGCAGAATCCGCATTGAATTTTAGGGATTATGAGTTGGTTGCATTTGCACCAGGTACTCCATACGACCCTAAATCTATGACCAACGAACTCGCTCATTATAGAAAAGCTGGTGGAAATAACAACGATTGGGTTGTCGAATTTTGCGTTCAGCCGGCAATTTATGTACACGAAAAGGAGAGACCAGATGATTTCATTAGCTCCCAAAGCTTTGTGCGCAAGACTGTACGAAGTGGAATTGGTCTGACACCATCCGTTAAAGCTGAGGTGCTTTTACGACGAAAGGATGGTGGCTCTTAGGTTTGATTTGGAATGATAATGGCTGCAAAGTAGGCGGGATGAATGAGCAGCTCGCAAGGACTTACCAATTCACAAGGACGAAATGTGTACGACTAATAATGTATAGTAACTAGTGAAGAGATTAGAAAAAATTGTACCTTTGAGCTTCTCAGCGTCCGAGAATAGATATCAATACATAAAAAGATGTAGCAAAGTTCACATGTCTATCGTTCGTGATCTTGTATCATTGCAACCCTCAGTCTCTCTCCAATTCATCGTCAAGCTTTCACATATTGAGAATACTCGTAATTTGGACTAATTAGGAGTGTTTTCTTGCAGCTTTGAATCATCCATAGGGATCAATTATTATTTTCCCGGGGTGGTGCTGATCCGGTCATCAATATGTATGCCGAGAACGGTGACCAGTTGTAGGTAATTTTCACCCCACGAAAACATCAGGATTGTGCCATCTCGGCCGTTACTCGCCGTCTCATCGGGTTTCAACCAATTAGTTAATCTGGAAGATCTCGGCATATCTCACTACTACCTTCCTAAATATATATTCACACAACATACCATGTTTCACGCATTTGCTTATCATGGTTTAGTGCCATAATTAGATAAACTGCTGAAGATCAACGATGTTTGTACACGTCGAGTTTACGATGTGCTACATTCTACAGAGTTGGGGCTGTTTGTTCTATTCCTGTCAGCCTTAAGTAAGGTCCTCAATCGTCGTCGGAAAATCCCCAATTTCCATCGACTTCCAATATGGTGTTAAAAAGTAGGAACACAGTAGATGAGAATACCCTTCATGTCACATCTATCTTCAAGAACACCGGAGATCACGCAGTTATCGATCGTCAAGTCGACACCGATGAAGAGATTCTAGTCTCCTTAGGCTACAAACAAGAATTCAAAAGGGAATTATCAATATGGTCATCTTTTGGAGTTTCATTTTCCTGTCTAGGCCTTTTGCCATCGATCACATCAACTCTAGGCTATAATCTTGGGTATAGTGGACCGGTAGGTTCGGTATGGGGATGGCTCGTTGCGGGGATCTTGATACAATTCGTAGCATTTGCGATGGCGGAATTGTGTTCGAGTATGCCGACAGCGGGGGGTCTTTATTATGCTTCGGCTGTTTTGGCACCGGAGGGTTATGGACCTTTTTGTTCTTGGGTATGTTTCTCATTTCCCGAAATGTGGATCTGGATTAACGTTTTGAGAGATAACCGGGTGGTCAAATTTTGCTGGTGAAGTAACGGCACCGTGTGCGGTTAACTATGCACTTGCGGCTATGATTTTGACAGCGGCTCAAATTGTTCACCCGGATTATGTTGTTCAAACATGGCATGTGTATCTTTTGCTTTTGGCTTTGCTAGTCTTACAAGGTCTTCTGGCTATGAATTCTACTAAATTTATTGGAGCATTGAATACAGTTGGGACTATCACCAATGTGATTGTACTCTTGATTTTCGTCACTTGGATCCCCGCTGGTTCTATCAAGGAACCGAAGATAAATCCAGGTAGTAGGGTGTGGACTTCTGAGGGTATTGTTAACGGGACGGAGTGGCCTACTGGATTTTCTTTCTTGATGGGATTTATGTCTGTTATTGTAAGTCAGTCAAATCTTTGGTTCAGGTTAAACTAACATGGAATAGTGGACATTGTCTGGATATGATGCACCATTTCATTTGAGCGAGGAGTAATCAAATGCGAATATTGCTGGACCGAGGGCTATTGTTATGATAGCTCAGTTAGGACTGTGGCTTGGTTGGGCAATCATTTTGGTCATTGCGTATACTGTGAAGGATATCCAAGATGTGGTTTCTGGACAGTATGGCCAACCTATGGTAAGCATCAACTATCAGGAGACTTGGAATTCTTGACTGATTCTGCAATAGGGAAGCTTGTGTCTCCAAGTACTTGGCCCAAAAGCTGGACTTGCGATGTTTTCACTCAACATGGTCGCTCAGTTTTTTGTTGGGCAAGGGTAAATCACCAACTTTCCCACGTCCTCTAACTCATTCTGTCAAAGAACCTTCGCTAACTCCCATCTTCAGTGTCACAGTCGTATCATCCCGCGTCGTTTATGCCTATTCCCGCGATGGTGCTCTCCCTGGTTCCCATTGGCTCAAGCAAGTAAGCCCTCACACCAAAACACCCGTCTACGCCGTTTGGTTTGTCCTCACTCTAGGTGCACTTCTTGGTCTTCTGATATTTGCTAGCCCAGTGGCTATTGGGGCTGTGTTTAGTATGGGCGCTATTGCGCAATACATCGCTTTCGTATTCCCTATTGCGTTGAAAGTTTTTAGCGCGAAGGGGAAGTTTCGTCCTGGTATTGTTCTACCTATTTTTTATATCTCCTTCGTTGTTCTCCTGTTCATCAAATTGGAGCTTTTGACTGATTAGAAATAGGTCCTTGGAATCTAGGTCGTTTCTCAACAGCGATAGGTGTTGTGGCTGTCGGATGGGTATCTCTTATAATTCCGATTCTCTGTTTCCCTTCAGTCACAGGGGCAGATCTAAATGATTTTAATATGAACTACACATGTTTAATATACGGAGGTACGATGACTTTGGCTATGTGTTGGTATGCGATTAGTGCCCGGAAATGGTTCAAGGGGCCAAACATCAATGTGGAGCACATGATTCATAGAGATGGTTCCGGGAATGGTTCTAGAACTGGTGAAATGGACGACGCTATCGTGGAAAAAGATGGACAAATGGTGGGCGAGAATGGATCTGACGAGACTAGGGAGGGGAAAGAGTTGAATGAGTGAGAAAAGAAGTCGGGGTGAAGGGGATGATGATCAGGTAGAATGTCTCGAAGGAGCAGTACAAATAGCGAGATCTAGGCTATGAACTCTAAAAAGAAATGGAGAGACGGAGAGAATGATAGATGAAATTATGACCCTCGCACAAAAAGCAAAACCAATGAAAGCTTCGCACCAAGTGTGACTGACTATCATGTGATACAGATCATGTGTTAATCAGCTGAACCAGCCCGGCCGACGAGATGCATGCCTGCAAGACATGATTTATAAAAGAGCGACGCGTTTTATTTTATATGATGTTTAGTATTTGCAAGTGGACTATGATAGGAAAATATGTACTGAGGTAGAAAGTAGTTTCAGGCATAAGTGGAAAGAACTATGCCCTGAGAAATTAAATTTACCCGCGTCTAACATAGTGCTAACACTAGCACGTGTTTTAATCATCATCACCACGAACATCATGTTATTGTTCTGATGTGTTTTTCCACCATTTTGGCAGGCATTGATGCTTACACATTCAACCTCAACGAATCACCGAGTATATTGCCACACTCCGAGTAGATATTCTACGTAATGAGGCTGACGAGGTTTCATTGGGGGCGATTGTGCGATAGCCGGCCAGCAATCAAGCCCCGCATCCTCAGCTCATCTATTACTTTGCAAACTACTCTTTCTCTCAAATTGTGATTCCTCGGTGCAGATTCTGGAGCCTTTATATCCTTTTCAATATTTGAAATCGGCACTTCTGATGTTTTTTTTTAGACTTTGGGAATTCATCAACGATATCGACATCGTGTCAAGTGTTCTTGTCTTCTCTCATCACGACTTAGCAGCTTTCAGCTGCAAAATCAAGCAAGACCAGAATGAGTACATCGCTACTCCAGGCGAGATATTCGGTTGATGATTATTTTGCACTGCCGGAAGAAGATCAACATCATCTGGATGCTTTGGAACATGCGGGGGCTGTCGATTTGACGGAACCCGGTTCGCTGGAACTCTCTACTCCATTGCCTGAGAAGGTTAAGACTCAGAACCTATGCCATTATTGCAAGCCAATGTTTTCTACAATTGAGAATCTGAAAAGTCTCACCTCCAAAAAAGGCTATAAGCATAACACTATAACAGGAGTCAGAGAGGCAGCGGATCGTGGATGCGGCTCATGCAAATTCATACAAACATGCTATCTTGGATCCAAAACTGAATATTCGCACATGAGGGTGTACGCTTGTCTCTTTGAAAATAAAATCAAAGACAGACTGCCTATCTCCAAGGGGAAATCGATATTTATTAAAGAACACTTACTTCCGAGACTTAGGGAATCTACCATGTCAACTAAATATCCGCTCGATGGATGCAAACTTGATGAACTTACTATCGGCTTTTCCGGATATCCAGTCAATCACCTTTTTCTTCTGTCTGATGAAGGTGAGCTTGTTCTTCGCGTAACCGTTTTTTATTAATTCGTGTCTTCTAGGGAGTCGGGCGGGTGTGTATATTGAGCGGCAACCTCCTGTAGCCAAGGATAATTTTGAAAGGACCATTCCCCAAATAAAAAAATGGTTAGGTTAGATGACTGCTGTTGCCGTCACACAAGACTTTGTCAATACTCTATTCCGAAACTACCCACGAGAGTGCTTCAAATAGGATCTAAAAACACAAGTCTAGTCCGCCTACATGTAAGTAGACCTGATCAAAAGGACGACTATATTGCTTTGAGCTACTGTTGGGGAGGGCCTCAGAGCTTCACAACCACTAATTCTACTCTGGAATACAACATGCGTGGCTTTGACACTGATAATCTACCTTTGACCTTCAAAAACACAATTTTCATCGCCAGGAAACTTGGAATACGATACATTTGGATTGATGCATTGTGCATTATCCAAGATAGTGATGTTGACAAAGACAAAGAGATCGAGGCAATGGGAGACATTTACAAGAATGCAACGGTGACAATATCTGCGGCAAGTGCATCTTCAGTAGATGGGGGATTATTCGACCATGGACCCACCCCAAATTTGTTAGAGGTCCCATTTTGCTTGCCCGACAAATCTCTCTCGAAGGTGTATATTTCTGAGGCGAGATTATGTGCTGACCTTAACGAACCTGTGAATCACAGAGCCTGGTGTTTCCAGGAATCAATGCTATCGCCCAGATTGCTTTCATTTCGATCTACGGAACTTCTCTGGCATTGCCAGTCTTTGGCATACGAACCTGTCGCAAAAAGCAATCATAGATACATCAAGTCAAAGGCTCTAGTACCTGCAAATATCTTCGGGCGGAACATAGAGATACAAATACCAGGAGTGCTTCACTGCGCTCGAGCTTGGAACTCAATCGTTGAAACCTTCACGGAACGCAGTCTTACGAATTCCGAAGATCGCTTGCCTGCCATATCTGCTATTGCAAAAGAACTCGCCTTTGTTTGGAATGACGAGCATGTTTGGTGGAATGAGGAGCACAGTCGAACGACATTTATCTTGGGCGGTGGTTCATCCGTACGGACTTGATACAAAGCATGACATTGCGAGAAATGATCGTGCTCCTTCCTGGTCTTGGGTCTCGATTGATTGTCAGGTTAAAATTACAATGCTTGCTTCGAATTTCCATGTGGGGACCAAATGTCTTGAGATTGACAACACACCAGCCTGCGGAAAAATTATTCTCCATGCCAGAGTTCTCTCTTTAGAAGCTCAGATGAACACCGGACAAGAGAAACTCCTCCAAAAATATTATGATGTTGCTGAGGATCTCGAGGCCAAAGCATGTGCACTCATGCTACTGGGAGAATATGAGATTGGGGATGAGAAAGATCAAGGATGTAGTTTGTCTTTTTTGATTTTAAAAAGATTGAGCAACGGATACTATCAGCGAGTTGGTCTATTTGACTGTTGGTTAAAGGGGTGATACTCCCTTCACGATTGGATGAGACCTAAATTTCTTAGAAAATTGCTCAAAACCATTGATTTTTCTCGAGTTACTATTGTTTAGCTACTATAGATAGATATCTTACGATTCGAAAATATTCTCAAAGATGAAATTTTAGGAACATTTTATCAAGAACGAATGGTGACATACGTCTCCATGGATTTGAGGTAAGATTTTGTAGCCAATATTGTTGCTAGAGTAATGATATCCCTTCGATTGAGGCATGGAAATACTTATTTGTTTCGAGAATCTCACAACCGCGATTGAGTTCTAATTATAGGAGTGTCCTATCATTTACGTCACTTTGGGAGAAGGACACCCCTACGGCTAATACGTTCATGGCTTGAATTTACACAGAAATTAGAGCCCACGAAGCCAAGTCATAAGTCAAACAGTCTGAACGCACTCTCACTCCAGAACAGAAGTTAGAGCACTCAAAACCGTAGCACTCCCCTCAAAATTATCATCATACTAAGAACTCCTTAACGGCTTCTCAACATAGTTTTCCCCACTGGCAGAAGAAACAGGGACAACGCAAACCCTAATACAAGTATGTAAGAACCTGTCCATTCGAAAAAAATCATGAAGGCCATACCGAGGAATATCTTTTCCCAAAGAAATAAGACAATCGAAAATCACCCTCTCAATCTTCTGAAATACCTCTCCAGATTCAACCATATCCCTAATCCGTGAACCAGACTGTATCCACGAACAAGCAGCAGTACAAAAGATGGATTTATGTATCGATACTAATGTTTTATTCATTAACACAATCATCCTATCAATCTCTCGAATAGCCATTCTAAACACCATATCATTCTTCCAAGATGCATCAGGTGATGCAACAAGAATAGTAAGACTTACAATCTGCTTTCTCCTCACTACTCGGATCTAATTTCCGTTAACAATCATTCACACCACCTTTCTTGTATAGATATTCTGTTCTATCGAGATAACCCCCAACAGTTAATAAACAAACCCATACATACCAAGAATCTCAACACGATACCCCGGAATATCAAAACTCGGTGATATCCCCAGAGACACAAATTTAATAAAGAATTTCCCCATAGCGTGTGATTTTCTCTCGGTAGAATAGTTCCATGAATCCTAATCAGCGTGATAGGATAGTCTATCGACATAATACTTATCGAACCAACCCAAATTAAACTAGCTCAAATAAACAATAAAACCCCCATCACAAACTTGAAACAACAAGCAAACTATCGCCGTAGCGACTCCAGTTCCAGGATGATCAATGACTTTAATGGAGCGGGGATATTTCCTGCATATGATGTTGTTGCATCAGTTCGTGTAGCTAGCTAGATAAAAAGCAGGATGATCGAATAGGTAGATATGCGCAGTTGCACTTACATATCTCATCATGTCAAATACCCAGAAATCTATTGAAAAAGAACTTCAGATTTTATATGATCAAGAATCAAATAGGTAGATAATCTTATGCTCCAAGACTCAAAAGCTCATGCTCTATCTATCCATCAATCTCAAATCTGCAAATATTGTGCCTCTCCCTCACATCAATAACGTAACATGTGATTTTAAGGTTAATTGAGAATCTAACCTAGGAGAGTATTTCCATCTCATTCTATCTTATCCATTTTCAAGCGAATTTCGGTTGATTTGAGATTTGATGCGGGAGTGGCTACTCTATTATTATTCTTCGATACCTAGGGGGTACTGTTGAATTAAATGCAATACAAAATAGATATTTCAACTCTTTCTTATTAAAGGTAATCTGATATTAATATTTTAGAGATAGTAATAATTAATGAGATTAGATAGGTAAATCAAACAAACGAACAAGCAAACCTTCTCACTCATCCCATACATACATACTATCCACATCACCTATCAATATTTTCTTAGCGAGCTACCCAGTAGGTAGGCAGGTAACACCATCTCCATCTCCATCTCCATCTATCATTTTATATCATATTACATCGCATCATATCATACCAACTTAATCTAACCTGCAAATTCCAATCCAAACCCCCAATCCACCACCCATTTCAATTTTCGATTTTCAGAAACTATCAAGAAAATTATCTCCATCTCCATCCCCATTACATACCTGCCTAAAAATCATATCATACCATCACGTCACATCACCTCATACCATTCTCACATTCTCAATCTCTAACTCTAACCCTAATTTCCTAATTTCCTAATTTCCTAATTTCCTTTATTCCAATAAACAATATACATCTATATCCTCACCAACATCAGTATCCTTATACCCCTCTTCCCCTCCCCCCTCTCCCCTCCCTCCTTTTTTCTCCCCCCCTTTCCCCATCACCGACTCATTTCAAGATACCAATTCAACAACCAAATAATTTCCAATCAGCTCAAATAATAAAGCTTCATTTCATTAAATCTACTTAAACAATTGAATCCGATTGTTTGATGTCTATTTGGACACTAATGAATCCTATCTCCGATTCCTTATTTTCCCCCCTTTTCCCCCCTTTTTCTTCGCTTATTCTATGTCTCTACTTTTTCGCTATTTATAATTTCGATTTTAGTTTTAATTTTTATTATTATTTTAATTCTAATTTAAGTTTTTATCTTCATCTCAATCTCAATCTCAATCTCACCATCTATCCTAGATCCCTATTTTAAACCTCAGCTCCTACTCTAAATCTCAACCTCAATCCTTATCACTTCTCCTACCTCTATCTCTACTCTAACCCACAATCTCTATCATCATCATCATCATTCCCATCATTCCCATCATTTCCATCTGTCAGGGTACAGGTAAAGACTTATATTGTACCATAAGGGTAGAAGAGCTATGGGAGAATAAGGCCCTACTTATAGGAAGTAGGGCAAGCTAGTGGTCTATGCCTGAGGCACTAAGGCAGCTACAGATCATGTAGTTGGCGCCGTGACACCATCATTCCCATCATCATCATCATCATCATCATCATCATCAAAAAAGCACAACCCATTCCCCCCATCTCTATTCTAATATTCTAACATCACTCCAGAGTCCAACTTGCATATTCTTTCTTTCCCTGCGTTCCTTTTCCTTCCTTTTCCTTCTTTTTCCTTTCTTTTCTTCCTTCTTTCTCTTTTCTTTTCTTTTCTTTTCCCCTTCCCCTTTCAATCTTCTACATCTCTCCCCTTAGCCCTCTCTCAATCACCATCCACTCAATGAACCACCCACTCAATAAACCACCCCACCCCATCCCCTTTCTCTTCTCTTCTCACCTGAAATCTCAACTACCCAACTCGCCAATCTCAAAACCTCACCAATCACCATCTCCCTCGAAGTAAAAATAGAGAAAAGTCATCGCATAGGGACACATCACCAGGCATGAAAAGTATGATGTGACGAGTAGAAAATCTGTTTTAAAATCTACCAGACAACCAAGCGAGAAAAATCTCGGATGTCCATATACACATAGATATGTATATGTACCATTCAACTTCGACCTCTGCCCTGCTTGAAAACTGGAACTAATATACGACGATATAACACTTCGCTTCACCATATCTATCATTTCAACCCACTGAAATTCCCCATCACATTTCATTATCCCCTCATCCCCAGAAAGTTTTCACCAAGGCCTCTCCCAAAACCCTACAATCCATCTAAACTAATCTATCCAGCATGCTCAACAATCTCACTCTTAACCTTTCCATTCTCTACCCATGTCCTTAATTGTTCAGGCAGAGGTACCTCCTTGTAATCTCCTTCACCATCTGCACTTTCCAAATCTGGAAGTAGCACATTAACACTACTACATTTACTTGTGAAAACTTCTGTGTTCAAACTCTCCTTCCCCAAGTAAATTTGAGCACCGTCAACTTGATCCATCATAATAGTTGGCAATGTGCCTAGTACTTGGAGTGCAAAGTTTGGTGCTTTGATAACATCAATTGATGAGACGAGACTATCAATTACCAAGGCAAGACGAGGAGAGTTATCAATAGAAATTGCGTTCGCTTTTCCTTTAATGATAATTGTAGTTTTTGAGCAGCGAGAAATGAGGATTGAATGTGAAATAGACGCTTCAATTGTGATTGGCTCAGATTCATTTTCGTAGTTTTCCTTTTCCGAAATGTTAGTACCTAACTACTCCCAATCAAACAAAAGAGTAACTTACAATAAACCACTTGTTACCCTCCAATTTTTTAACAGGAGGCTTCTTAGTTCTCATACTCTCTGGCTTAGGTTTTTTACCAGGAGCAGGACTCTTTCCTCGGTTCGAACTAATACTGGATTGGCTATCACTTCTAGTAGGAACTGTAGCACCTGCTCTCAAAGAAGGATTTTTATGTGTCATTTGATCAGCATTCACTTTGCGCAATCCTTTAGTAACGTCTGCTCCCTTATTCAATTCGGAGAAAACGGCTCCTAATCCAGCACCTGCATCTGCTTGTTTTGGTGCTGGCTTTGATGGAATGTCATCGAAGACTGGTGGTGGTGGAGGTGGAGGAGGTGGTGGTGGTGCGGCTCCACCGGCAGTTGCAGCCTTTGGATGAGGAGCTGGAGGGGCTGGAGCCTTTTGATCAACTTCCTTAATCGCAACTTCCAAATCTTCGCCCTTTGGATTCCATGGAATACCATTTGGGAAGTTATCCTTGGCATATTCGCTGAGATCTTTAAAGATTTGATAGAATG